GCAAATTGAAGGTCACCTTGGGCAATGTGACAAGACCATGTCTCAAAATAAAATAAAAAGGGCTAAGGATGTAGCTCAGTGGCAGAGCACTTGGCTAACGTACACAAGGCTCTGGGTTCAATCCCCAGTATGGGCGGGGGTGGAGGGGAGATGTAAAAGAAGGGGAAAAAGGCTGTAAGCATTGCAAATTCCTGTTAAGAAAATAGTAAACAGTAGCCAGGCAAGCTTGTAAGTCTAGCATTCGGGAGGCTGAGGCAGGAGGATCACCGGAGTTTGAGGTTCAACCACCTCCCAGTAGTGCCGTGAACTGGAGCCCGAGATTTAGGGGGATGCTTCAGATCCAAAGCTCAAGCAGCTCATGCTGTTCAGGGAAATTAGAGCCAGGTAAAACACAGTGAGAAGAGGAGGAGGCATGTTGGCCTCTTAGGTGATGCTGTGAGGAGCCTTCACGTAGGTGGGGTCCTGCGTCTGGAAGGGGAGATTGAGGAGCCTCAGTGTGGTGTCCCGCGCCCTGTCCACTCCTGCTCTCCATGCCCCTGGGCTTCGTTTCTGTTTGCTGCTTCTTTGCTCGCCCTCCTCTTCTCTTCCCTCCTGTCCTCCCCGTCTTCTCCCGTCTTCCCCTCCCTCCTCTGCCCTCCCCCTCCCTCCTCTGCCCTCCCCCTCCGCTCCCCGCACTCGCTGCTTTGGGGCAGGGAACGTAGGTGTCACGCGCACCTTAGGCTTGTGCTTCCTGAGCTGCACCCCAGCCCTTCTTCACCATCTCTTGCCTTTTCTTTAAAAACCACCCAAAGAGCCCGCGACACCTGTGAGCTCAGCGACTCAGGTGCCCGAGGAAGGAGCACCACCCCTTCAAAGCCAGTCAGACCCAAACATAAAGGGCAGCGGGTGTGGCTGTGGGGTAGAGCGATCCTGCGTTTGATGCCCAGTACTGCAGAGGAGCAGGCAAGCGCACACGCCCCCTGCAGGGGTCCGGGACTGTCCTTTACGCCTCGCCAATGTGCCTTTTCCCGCAGACAAATATTCTCCATCTAGATTGAGAACGAAGCCTGAGCTCCGGAAAACAAGCCTTGCCCAGACTGGGTAGCAAGCCTCGAAGATTCCTGCTGCACGCGTCTGCTCTCGGTTCTATTCTACTCTGCTCTGTACTGCAGTCAGTTCCTAGCTGGGGGCTACTCAGCAAAGTCCTGCCGGGTGCCCTAGTACAGGGCTTGGTGTGTGCTAAGCACTTGCTCCGCCACCGAGCCTCAGCCGCGGCTCTTTTCTATTTATTTATTTATTTATTTATTTATTTTTAAAATAGGCCGAACATTTTATGTGATTATTATTTAATTTATTTATTTAGGATTTTTTGGTTAGGATCTCACTGTGTAGCCCAGGTTGGCCTCAAACTTGCAGCCGTCCTCCTGCCTCAGCCTCCTGAGTGCTGGGATTACAGGTGTGCACCACCACGCCTCATTTCTTTTTGTGTGTGTATGTGTGTGTATTTTTGAGACGCAGTCTCACTTTGCAGTTCAGGCTGGCTTTGAGCTCACTTTGTAGCCCAGGCTGGTCTCGAACTTGCAACAAGCCTCCTGCCTCAGCCTCCGAAGCGCTGGGATTATAGGCGTGCACTGCCACACCTGGCAATCTTTTTTTTTTTTTTTATTAATGTACTTACCTTTTTCTTCCTGATTTGTAAGATCTGTTGGCATATGAAGCACACTACTTACTGTGGTATCTACCTAGGTGTTACAGTTGTACCTTCCAGCTTATTGACTGCAGTTTGTTGTGGTGGTGTTGTCATTCAGAAACACTGAACTGATTTTAAGCCAGACTCGCTGATCTCTTCATCTAGATGGGACCCTGGGCTAGGGGAGCCTTCTGGGCTAGGGACCTTGAAGTTTGTTGGTTGGTGACTCTCTACTCCCCACTCCTGCCAGGCCTTGGAGACCCGGGCCAGCCCTGGCCACACCCCAGGCTGTGTCACCTTTGTCCTGAATGACCACAGCATGGCGTTCACTGGAGATGCCCTGCTGATCCGAGGGTGTGGGCGAACGGACTTCCAGCAAGGTGACTCCCGCCTTTACCCAGCCCAGGGCCTTAGTGTGTGCCACGGTGTTCAGTATCAATAACAGGAATGAGTGGGTGGACTTGAGGTTGTTAGGGGGTCAGTATTAGATTCAAAGGGTTGGGCTGCTGGAGTGTGGGAGGAATTTATGCAGCCACCTGTTAGGGGATGGTTACATTCAGGGTGTACTAGTTATCTATTGCTGTGTAACAAATAATCCCATAACTTAGTGACATAAATACTGATTTATGCTGTCTCACAGTGTTTCTGAGGGTTGGAGGTCTAGGAGCAGCTCAGTGGGTGGTTCTATCCATTTCCCTCACCCAGAACCTTCTTGGGCTCCCAGGATAGGGGTGCTACTCCTCCTGCTTCAGGTCATCCTGACTTCCTGAGTGCCTATTATACTGGTGAACTTTTTACCATTCCTCAGTCCTTCACACATGCTGTTCCACCTGCCCATAATGCCCTTCCCTGTGCCCAAAGGGGGATTAGCAGAGCAGTTTAGCTATAGGGATTTCTTCCTCCCATTCTCTTCTTTGGGGAAGGAGTCAGGGGGCTTCTCCTGTCCTGGGATCCAGTAACCTCTGAGCTCTCCTTCCCCAGGCTGTGCTAAGACCTTGTACCACTCAGTCCACAAGAAGATCTTCACGCTTCCAGGGGAGTGTCTGGTCTACCCGGCTCATGATTACCATGGTGAGGCCTTGCTGGAGGAGGTGTGGGGCTTCCATTGCTTGAGAGAGGCGCTAGCAAACTCCTGTCCTGTAATCCTCATAGGGTGTGGAGACTACAAGTCCCAGAAATTCCTCTGGCCAAAAAGGTTCGGTGCCGGGGTGTGCAGTGTGTGGCTGTAGCAATTACACAGCTCCTGGTGTTCCCCGGGACCTGGCTTTGCCTGGGCTTCCTTATACGCTCAGGGAACTGCATTTCCCATAGTGCCCATCTTCTCTTCAGAAGAGAAGAAAGATTTAGGAACATGCTGGGAAGAGCCTGTTAGTTCCAGGGCAGGGAGGTGCCCCCAGGATGTCGTTCTAAGAGGCCCAAGGAACTGGACCCCTTGACCTTCCTTGCCCTCCCTTGGCTACCAGGGCTTACAGTGTCCACTGTGGAGGAGGAGCGGACTTTGAACCCTCGGCTCACCCTCAGCTGTGAGGAATTTGTCAAGGTGATGGACCACCTGAACTTGCCCAAACCTCAGCAGATAGGTGAGTACCTGAGAACCCAACTCCATGGTCTCAGAGAACAGGGTCAGGCCTGGACCCCTGAGGGAGGAGGCCAGGCCTGGACCCCAGGGTCTGAGGGAGGAGGCTGAGCCGGAGGGAAGATGGGCTCAGGACTGGACATGTAATTCCACAGAGAAGAGCTTTCTTGATCCTGGGTCCTTACCAGGGCAGGGATCTGCCAGGCCCTCAGTTCCACACATGGTTTTTCCTTTCAGATGTTGCTGTCCCCGCCAACATGCGCTGTGGGGTGCAGACCCCGCCTTCCTGACCTGTCCAGTCAGGTGCTCGCATAGTTCTCAAGAATGCACTGGGTGGGGTGAAGGTGGAGCTGTCATCGCTGTACCTACCCGCCACCCCAGCTCCTCAAGCCTCTTAAATAAAACATTTTTTTGACTGTGAATCTAACTTCTGTTTTCTGGAGGGAACCTTCGGGGCTGCAGTGCTTAGGGTCAGCTCTGGTCCCTTAATGGGGCTGGGACGCCAGACAGGATGAGGGCCCAGGCAGGAGGCTGAGATCCTGAAGCAACCATAGAACTCAGGGCAGGTGTTTTTATGGCCTCAGCTAGAGCCCGGTCTTGACTTTGAACTACTTGGAGTCCTGGAGTAATTTACCTCTTCAGTGCTCCATTTCCTGATCTGTAAAATGGGGATAATAGTAATAGCATCCCATGATGGTCCGATAAGTCACTGAATGTGCGTGTGGGGCACCCTGTGCTGCTGATTCTATCAGAGCTTGCTATTACTGCTATCACCGAGAATATCTCCCAGGCACTTCCTGGCTTGCTGTGGCAGTTCGCTTAATGGTTAATCACATGGATTTTGAGAGCAGGAAGTTGGTGTTACATTTACAGTGTGTAGATCTGGGGGGCATTTGTACCTCCAGCCTCTGTTCCCCAAGTATAAAGTGGAGAGGGGTCTGCTGTGAGGATGGGACCAACCTACAGTGTGTAGCACCAGAGGTGGAACCTAGGGGAGCTCTGCCGCTGAGCTGCAGCCTCAGCCTTTTTCCTTTTTTTAAATTTTATTTTGAGATAGGGTCTTGCTAAGTCGCTAAACTGCCCAGGCTCTGCTCCAATTTGCCATCCTCCCGCCTCAGCCTTCCAGAGTGCTGGGATTACAAGGTATACATCACATGCCTGGCTGCTGCTTTGCTTGGAGAGAGGGTCTGGCTAGATTGCTCAAGCAGGAATGGAACCTCCAATCCTTCGGCCTGAGCCTCCCAAGTGCTGGGATGACAGGTGTGCACCGCTTGGCGGGGTTTAGCACAGCTCTCACGTCTAACAAGCCTGTTTCACACACGGGTTGTTTTCCTGTTTTTGCCCAGAGAGGAAAGGGTCTGGCTGAGAGCTTTATCATCTGGCCTCCACCCCATGACAAAGTGTGTGTGTGTGTGTGTGTGTGTGTGTGTGTGATGGGGGGGTACACTTCCCTCTGTTTCTGGGCTGGTCACTGACTCAGCTCAGGGCACCCCCTGCCCCTGTCCAGCTCCCTAAACCGGTCGGGGCCCTTCTAAAGGTGTTATTAGAAGGGAGAGGCCCCCATCTCCATCCCTATCTTCCTTTGAGGACTCAGGACCTAGGCATCAGGGAGGCCGGCATGCAGGGGTGGCCAAGTGCGGGGCCCTCGGGGCCCAGGGGTGGGCGCGCCCGCGGCGGAGTGGGAGGCCGCGACGCTGGGTGCTCCGCGGGTGGAGCCGGTGGGGCCGGGAGGGCCCGGTGCCCGGCCGCGGGCGGGGCGAGCTGGTCGCTCCCTGCTCCCGTGAGAGCTGTTGGACCTGTTGTTCCCCCTCCACTTCCGGGCGGCTGGGGAGGGGGACAGGGCGGTTTCTCTCTCCCGCCTCCCCAGCCACCTGTCTGGTGGCAGAAGCGGCAGCGCCCGGGGCGCCGAGCGGAGCTGGTGAGCTGGGGCTGCGGAAGGAGGGGGCCGCAGACTCGGCCTCGGGGCGGCGGGGGCGGCGGGAGCCGGGGCTGGGAATCTAGTTCCCTGGGAATCTGGGAAACGGACTCAGGCTCAGGCTTGTCCGGAGAGCGGGGGACTGGGAGCCCCGACTCCTGGATCCCGGGGTGAGGCGGTGTGGGTGGGGCCAAGACCGCTGGGCTCCGGGGAGTAAAGGGGGTGAGTCAGGAGGGCGGACAAGGGGTGGCGCTCGGGGAACCCGGGAGAGCGAGAAGGCTGCTTGGGATGGGGGGCGAGGACCTCAGAACAGGGAGACCCGGGGTGGGACAGCCCGGGAGGGGGCGTGCGAGGACCTCCGGCCTCAAATTCCGGTCCCGCCTCCGGGGGCGTGCCGCCCAACTTCGCCCCAACTTCGTGCCCCGCCCCAGGAAGCGTCAGGCCACGCCCCTGGAATGCTCCGCGCCAGCCTTTGAACTCCGAGCCCCGGCCTCCTGGGTGGGTGGGGCTCCGAGGCCACGCCCCCACGCTGCCGGGCCACGCCCCAAGATCCCGACCACGCCCACCCGCGGCAACCCGCAGCGATCATGGGGACTCCGAGCAGCCCGGAGGAGGGCTATCCGTCGCCGCGGGTCCCGGGACGCGACCCAGACGTCCAGCCCCAAGGGGCTGTCCAGCCGCAAGGACGCCCCGAGAAGCCCCGCGAGCTGGAGACTCCTGAGGCTCCAGAGGAGCTTCCGAGCGGCCGAGGAGCTGAGCAGGAGCAGGCCGAGGAAGAGGAAGAAGGAGGAGAGGGCAGCAGCACGGAGAGCACTCGCGACGAGGTGAGGGCGCCGGGCGGACAGCCGCGGGAGACCCCAGACAGACGGGGCCCGAACAGGCGGCGAGACAGAGAGACAGGCAGAGACCCGGGAACAGGAGAGACAGAGGGGCGGAGACGGCAACCTGGTAGAGGCCGGGAAAGCCAGAGACGAGACAGACTCAAAGGGCGGCCAGACACAGTTACGGGTGATACCCAGACAGGCGACACGCAGAGGCCACAGACCTAGAGACAGAGACCCCGAAGAAACAGAGAGAGGAGAGGGTCAGGGACACGGGGTTAGAGGGAACCCCCCAAACAAAAGGCAGAGATACTCAGAGAAACAGAAGTAGCGACACAGAAAACGGGAAAAGAAAAAGAAATAGAGACGCAGAAAAAAAGAGACAGGGACACAGAAGTCTTTTTCTTTTTTTGAGACAGGATCTCACTACATATTTTAGGCTGGCTTTGAGCTCATGATGTAGCCCAGGCTGGTCTCAAACTCAGGGGGATCCTCCTGCCTCAGCCACCAGAGTGCTGGGATTCAGGTCTGAGTCAGCACACCCGGCTGGGACACAGAAATCCTAATACTGCAAGAGAAAAAGAGACCTAGAGACTCAGAGAGATGAGGTTAGAGACAGAGGGAAAGCCGAATACCAAGGGCAGAGATACTCAGAGAAACGGATAGGGACACGGGAACAGAGAAAGAGGGACACGAGTTTTGAGAAACAATGGGCGAGAGAAAGAGACCTAGCGTTTCAGAGGCCGGGGACAGAAGCCCAGAGAAACTGAAGAGACTGAGAGACCGGAGTGAGGGGAGGGACAGAGATCTGGGCACTACACGAAGGTGAGGCCGAGAGAGTGAGCCTAGGACGGAGAGAGTCACAGTACGAGGCGGGTCAAGCGGCCAGCGGGCCGCACCTTAAGTACAGACCCTGGGCTTGGTGGTTGAGTTGGGCCCACTCTGCTCCCTCGGAGGTGTTGAGGGTAGGGACCAGATTTATTTACTGACTTCGGGAGCCGCTTGACCGCTCCAATTTCAGCCCGAGGCCACGCCCCCTGCGCAGATGTCGGGCACGCCCCCCGCTCGGGTCCCTGCTGGGGAAGGGGTGCGGGAGACGGCGCGGCGGCTGCGAGGGCTGCAGCTGGAGGCGCTGACTCGCGTGGCGCTGATGGAGCAGCGCGTGAAGGAGCTGCAGCGCCAGAAGAAGGAGCTGAAGATCGAGGTGAGACTGCAGGCCCCTCGGGAAGTGGCCCAGCTCCATCCTCTCCCAAGCGGGATGGCAAGCCTCGGTCCGCCCTCAGAATGCCCGAGTTCAGGCCCCCGCCGCACCACCCCCCCCCCCCAGCGTCCCCAGCCCCGGGCCTCGGACTCCACGCCTTGCTTTCTCCCGGCAGGTGGAGGTGGAGATGGCCCTGCGGCAGGCGGAGCTGGCCGGGGAGCGAGTGGTGGCTCGGCGGGAGGAGGAGCAGCTCCGGGAGCTGCTGGGTCGGCGGACAGACGCCGAGAAGGGCCGCGAGCAGCGGGAACAGGTGGGTCTCACGCTGCCTCAGCCTCCCGCTCCTCCCCGCCGGACCTGCGGTGCTCCCGGCGATTGGGGCCCGGGGCTGCCCTCACTCCCCGAGTGGGGGCGCTCGTGCTGCGGAGAGGGCGAGAGCCGCGTCTCTGCTTGTTCGGGTATCATGTTGTCTGTCCACACTTTAGCGTGTACCTCTTACGAGTAAGAACTTTTCTTTTTTTTCCTTTTCTTTCTTTCTCTTGTGTGTGTGTGTGTGTGTGTGTGTGTGTGAGAGAGAGAGAGAGAGAGAGAGAGAGAGAGAGAGAGAGAGAGAGAGAGAGAGAGACTGACTGGGATTGAATCCAAGGATTGCGGAGCTACATCCCTCAAGCCTTTTTATTTTTTATTTTGAGACAGTGTTGAAGTTTGCCCAGGCTGGGCTCAAACTTTCCATCCTCCGGCCTCAGCCTCCCCAAATAGATAAGATTACAGGCGTGAGCTACCCATCCCTCATTACCTTGCTTAAGAATTAGTAAGTTCTGAGTAGTTTCTCGTCCATTTTCATGCTTCCCAGATTGTCTCAAAAGTGCCAGTTAACGGGTGGCTCGTTTGAATCCGGTTGTACAAAGCCGTGAGTTGCGCTTGGTCAGTGCCCCTCGCACGTCGGTTCCTCTGTCTCTGGTGATTTTCACCCACTGTGTCTGCTCCATACTATTTGTTGGAGAAATTGCCTGGCTGTGGTGACTGGCAGTGGCCTCTCTTTCTACAAGGAGGAGGCTCTTTGGCTGCAGAGACCGAATCTGATGTTCTCAGCCCTTCCTCGGAGAGTACTGGGGACACGTCTCTGGACGTCCAGGCCTCCCCCATCTCTTCTTGAGAACCGTGGTCTAAAGTTGTTAACATCTACCCGTGAGCGTTGCTTGGAAGTTATCATTATAGGTTGGAGCGTGGTGACTTTGTAATTCGGTCAGTCTTTCCCTTGGCAAGCATCTAGGGTATGGAATTTCCTGGAGCTGGTCCCAAGCTTTCATTTACAAAAAGCCTGAGCTCTATATGCCCTGCTTCCTCTGATTCTGGCTCCTACGTGTTCCTTTCTCCCCTACACCGAGAAGTGTGTGCATCCAGCCCTCCCTGATTTCTGAGGCTTCTCTTAAATAACCCCACATCCAGGAAGCCTTGGATTAGCCCAGCAGAAATTATTCCCTGCTCCAGGTTCCCACTTCTCTGTGTTGTGGGGTGGTGATTGTCCTGGCTGTGGAGGCTGTGTCCCCTCCACACCCCCGTGAACAGGACCTGGATCTGACCCACTTTTGGGAACCCAGTGTCACCCAGCATGTCACATTCAGCATTAACTCCTTCACCTCTGTTCTTCATTTCCTGCTTCTTTTCTTTCTTTCTTTCTTTTTCTTTTCTTTTTTTTATTTTTATTTTTATTTTTTTTTTTATTTTATTTTTTTGGTTTTTCTCCGGTACCAGGAACCGAACTCACGACCTTGCGCTTGCCAGGCAGGCGCTTTGCCGCTGAGCTAAATCCCCAGCCCCTCTTTTCTTTTCTTTTTGAGACAGGATTTGACTATGTAGTGCAGGCTGGTCTTGAGCTCACCATGTAGCCTAGGCTAGCCTCAGCCTCTCGAGTGCTGGATTACAGACGTGTGCCACCACACCTGGCTTCCTTCCCTCAGTTCTTAAAAGCCCATTTACTTGGTGTCTGCTCTGGGCTAGGTCTGTATAAAAGCAAAACAGACAGGTGGGGCCCCAGCCTTCTACAAGCGGTCGCTTAGGGCTGGCCTGGCTCCTCAGGCTGAGCTCAGGCTGAGGCTGAGGGCCTGGTTGTTGTTTTAGGAACAGCGAAGACTGTGCCAGGAGCGGAAACGGGTGGAAAGTCTTCACCAGAAACTCAGAGAGGCCCAAGGACAGCTCAGCTCGCAGCCGGAGGACCAGCAGGAACGACTTCTGCAGCAGGTGCAGGAGGTGAGAGCCCTTGGTATCCTCTCAGTGGTCTGATGTCCAGGTCCCCCTCCCTCAGGCCCAGAAGTCCAGGCCCCAGCCCTCCTCTCTTAGTCCAAGGAGTTCTGGCTCCAGGCTACTGCTCCCCTGGGCTCTAGGGGTCCAGGTCTCCAGCCTTTGGTGTCCCCCAACCACAGCTCAGGGAACAACTGGAGGTGGCCCAGCGGGCCTACGAGGACCTGGAATTCCAGCAGCTGGAGCGGGAGAGCCGGCAGGAGGAGGAGGATCCGGAGAGCCCTGGGGCCCAGGCACCAGATCCTAGGGTCCAGGAGCTTCAGGCCAGTGTGGCTCAGCACAAGGTGAGTCTTGGCACATTAGCCCTGCCCCTGCCCTCCACTTTTTGGCATTTACTGAACATTAGCTGTGTATCTGCATGGTTTTCACCACTTTATGAGTATTCACTCATTAAATCCTCATAGCACACCTATGGGGAAAGTCCTGTTCCTTTTTTCCTGTATCATAAATGAAGGAACAGTTGGGCATGGTGGCACACACCTGTAATCCCAGCACTCTGGGAGGCTGAGATGGAAGGATTCCAAGTTTGAGCCTAGCCCAGGCAACTGAATGACTTAGAGAAACCTTGTCTCAAATAAAAGGGAGGGGTACTGAGTATGTCACCTAGTCAGAGGCTCTTGGTTCAGTCCCCAGTACCACAATAATTGAATGGTTAGGGTGTTATGGGCTGGGCTGCTTGCACAATCTTTCCCGGGGTCACTTAGTTCATACAGGGTAGAGCTAAAATATAGGTATTCCTCATTTAATGACCTACCTGCTTAATGACTGTTTGGACTTATGACCCATGGCTCAGGCTAATGACCTGCCTTTTTTTGTGTACAGTTCTGTATATCTTTGTTTGTTTTATTTTGTGTTTGTTTTTTTTTTCTGGTACCAGGAATCGAACTCACGACCTTGCGCTTGCCAGGCAGGTGTTGTGCCGCTGAGCTAAATCCCCAGCCCCTCGGTTCTGTATATCTTGTTTATAGAGCTTCAGTGTATGTTTTGGTACAGTGTACAGTACACCTTGGTATACAGTACCATCATTTTTGCAGCTTATACTGTACGATACAGTACTACAGTTTTCAGTTCCGTTATACATTACGGTACTGCGTGTAAGAGTTATGCAAAGAAAACCAAAGCCATCAAGTTGGAGTTTCCTTTGACCATTCCTTTGTTCTTTTGTTTTGTTCTTTGTCTTTTTGAGACAGGGTCTCCTTATGCAGTTCAGGCTGGCCTTGAGCTCACTTTGTAGCCCAGGCTGGCCTCCAACTCGCATATGATCCTCCTGTCTCAGCCTCCCGAGTGTTGGGATTACAGGGGTGCACCACCACACCTGACCCTTTGTTCGGAATATTGTATGATCTAGTTGCAGGAGCAGAACTCGGTCATTAAATGAGAAATATCTAATAAACCTCCTCGGTCTTCACCACCTCACTTGGCACCTCCCAAGCCTTTATCCAAAACAGATGTAACCACTAGTGCTTTATTTGTGCCTCCCTCCCAAGGCTCTGACAAGTCCTGTGTGGAAAAGGGGCAAATTTCACACACTTAGAGTTTCCTGCCCTTTTGGATTGGAAAGTTCTTCCTTCACTTCTACTTCTGAACCTTTTCCCCGCTCCTCTCTTTTCCCTTTCTGCGTCTCAGATGGTTTCTGTCTGCTTCTATTTTCTTTCTATCTTGTCTCCTGTCTCTGCAGGTTGTCTCCATCTCTGTGTCTGGGGTCTGTCCTGGTTGCTGTTCTCTACCTGTCCTGCTTTGTCTCCCTGATGGCCCCTTTCTTTTTGTTCTTGGTGACTCTCTCTGGTCTCTGTCCCCCTTGGCCTCTGTGTGTACAGCAGATCCTCCGTCCCCTGCTAGATCTGTTTTAGGTCCCTCAAAGAGAAGAGGGCACTGAGGAGCTTAACTCAGAGTCCTCGGCCCTGGGTGCTCAGGTCTTGTGATTTCCGTGAGAGGCAGGGGCTGACCAGGGGCCGCTGAGGAGGACCGGCTCCCCCGGAATGTGGGCTGGGGCCCTGGGACAGCTAAGTAACCAGGGAGGGGGGCTCTGCAGCACCGGATCCAGGTCTTGGAGGAGCAGCTCAAATCCCTGAAGGTGCAGATGACAGCTGAGACCTGGGGTCTGAGCCGCAAGAAGGAGGAGGCCCGCCAGGTCCTGGCACAGGTGAGTTTGTTGAGACCTGTCCGGAGTCCTCACTTCCCTTGGTACCCTTCCCTCCTCCCCCACCTGAGGTGTTTCCAGCATCAGGACAGCTGTGGGGCAGCCCGTTCTGACTTGGAGATGTGGTAGCCATGTTGTCTTCCCCTAGGAACGGACCCGACTGCTTGAGCTTAGTCGCCTTCAGGGAACACTTGGTGGGGATTTCTCTGAGTCCAAGCAAGCCCGCACCAAGGTATGGGGATTATGAGCACCTGTCAGACCCTCCTCCCTCAGACCTGGGGTTCAGCCCTGGCCTCGTCCCTCAGACCCAGGGTCTAGGCCCAGCCTCCTCCCTCAAACCTGGGGGTCCAGGCCCAGCCTCCTCCCCCAGATCCAGGGTCCAGGCCCTAGCTCCTCCACTCCGGGGTCTTTACCCCTGAAATCTTTTATCCTTAGGACTCAGGAGTTTAGGCCCCAGCCGTTCCTTCTCAGGGAAGCAGCAGTTTTGCCTGCAGCCTCACTCTGGGAGACTGGACATTAAGGGCATTCTGGCCTCCGTGTGACCAGGCCTTTTATTTTTCCATCTGAGAAATGGGCTGCCTTGGAGGCTGGGTCAGAGCGTGTGGGAACTGGTGGTTTCTCTGTGGTCCTCTGTCTGTCCTTAACCTTTGTCCCCTCTCCCCAGCTGCTGTTCACCCAGAAGACAGACCGCCAGCTGGTAGTGCTGCAGGATCCCGACGCTCACTCTGCTGCTGCCTCTACTTCTTCCTGCCTCTTTTCCGTCCACAGCTCCCTGCAGGTGCCTGACCGCTGCCTCCATGTTCCCATGTACGGGGTAGGAGGGCTGAGGACAGAGCCATCTCCTGGGGCTGTCCGCCTGGGGGTGGGGGAGGCGGAAGGCTCGTGGGGGGTGTTTTGATGACTCCTACTTATGGTATTTTTCCTTCCTTGTGCCTAACACCCCACTGGCAGGATGGGAGCTTGTGCACTCAGGAGTAAGTTTTAAAAGTGACCAGAGTATATTGATAAGGTCTCCTCTCCTCACCCCTATAGGTCCCTGGGTCACCTCCCAGAAGCAGGGCAGCTACTTGGTTTGGGTCTCACTATGCAGTGCAGGCTGGCCTTGAACTCACTTATATAGCCCAGGTTGGCCTGGAATTCACAGCGATCCTCCTGCCTCAGCCTCCTGAGCGCTGGAATTACAGGCGGGTGCCACCATGCCCGGTTCAGCTACTTGTTTTTGATCCTCCCAAAACTCCTTAAAATCAGGGCCCCTCGGGCGGTTTGTGTAGCTCGGTAGTAGAGTGCTGGTCTAGCATGAGCAAAGGTTTAGTCCCTAGCAATGCAACGAAAACAAAGCCAAGCAAACAACCCACCCCCACAAATCTGGGATCCCATCTTCTTAATGGTTTAAACACTCACTGACCTTTTTTTTGTTTGTTTGTTTTTTGTTTTTCTCCGGTACCAGGAATCGAACTCACGACCTTGCGCTTGCCAGGCAGGCGCTGTGCCGCTGAGCTAAATCCCCACCCCCAACTGACCTTTTTTTTTGTGGGCGGGAGACTCTGGAATTCACACCCAAGGCCCAGCATGTGAGACAGTTGCTCTACTACTAAGTTATACTCCAGCCACAGTGGCTACATAATTTTATTTTTAAATGAAATAAAGTAGAAAATACCAGTGTGCCATGTATGAAGGAAGGGTGACTTCTTGAAAGGGTGACATGAAAACATCTTGTGTCTGTTGTAGAAACCTAGTAAGCACTTAGACTTTGGTAGCTCTCATTATATCTTATAAACTTTTTTTCCATGAGTGTATATATTAGCTATTGGTTGGCTTATTTATTTATTTGGTACCTGAAGTTGAGCCCAGGGCCTTGGCACTGGGTTACATCTCTAGCCCTTTTCTAATTTTTTATCTCTGAGACAAGGTCTCACTATAGGTTTGGCTTGAACTTGGGATCCTCCTGTCTCAGCCTCACAGGATGCTGGGATCACAGATGTGTGCCACCGTGACTGTCCTATTTGTGATTGACTGATATTATTATTGTTATTATTATTTGTCTTTTTGAGACAAGGTCTTGCTATGCAGTTCAGGTCTTGAGCTCACTTTGTAGCCCAGGCTGGTCTCAAACTTGCAACGGTCCTCCTGCCTCAGCCTCCTGAGAGCTGGGATTACAGGTGTGCACCACCACGCCTGGCGGATTGACTGATATTATTGATGCCAGGAGTGCTCTACCCCTGAGCTTCATCCCCACCCTTTTATATTTTTTGAGACAGGGTCTCGATAAGTTGCTCAGGCTAGCATGGAACTTGTGATCCTCCTGCTTCAGCCTCCTGAGTACCTGGGGTTACAGGTACTGTAACCTGCAGTGCCAAAGATGGCACTTTTTGATGCTAGGCTCGTCTGCAGGACGGGTATTCTGTTTCTATAATGTAAGCACCACATGCACATAGGTTGGGCCTATACTGTGTGGGCTTGCTTGGTGCAGTGTCTAAGGCATTGGCTGGAGGAAGCAAAGACAGAAGGGTAAGCACAGGCTCCCGGGTCTGGGATTCCTCAGTGTGAAGTGGAGCGAGGGGGTTTTAGGAGCTTACATGGGCCAGCAGAGTGACAAGACAGCTGTCCCTTGGGCTCCCTGGGGGACTGGCTCCAGGACACCAATATTCAAGGAACCTCAGGTCCCTTCCATGCAGCGGTGCAGTGTTTGTGCATCACCTGTGTGCACCCTCCTGTGTGTGTTAAATCATCTCCAGATGACTTGTGCCCAACACAGTGGGAGCTCTGTACACAGTTGTTATGCCGCATTGCGTGGGGGAATAATGACAAGAGGAAGTCTGTCCGTGTCAGGGACAGATGCAGTTTTCTTGCCTATTTTTGGGCTGTGGTGTGTTGTATTTGTGGGCGTGGCACCCGTGGATACGGAGGGCCACAATACACAGGCACATAAGAAGCTCTTGATCACCCTTGGCTATTTAAAAAACTCTCTCATTATTTAACATAACACAAGTCTAGAAAATCACTTCAAACACATACACAGCTTTGTTATATGGCAACGCTTGTATCAGGAGGCAGAACTGACAGCCACCCTGGAAACCCCGCACGGGCCCGCACCGGTGACAGCCCCTGTCTGCCCCTAACCATTAGCCTGCTTCTCTCTCTCTCTCTTTTTTTTTTTTTTTTTTTTTTTTTTTCCCTTACCGGGAATCAAACTCACCACCT